AGCACTGCAGCCTGAGCCCTGATTGCAGCCTAAGCCCTGATTGCAGGCAGCGCTGCAGCCTGAGCCCCGCATGCAGGCAGCCCTGCACTGCACAGCCGCCCCAGAGCAGCCCGCTCTCCCCTACAGGGTCTATCTGTGACAATCTGGTCCCTGCTTTGTGCACACCCACATGCACGACGGCTCTTTGAAGATGCTCCTTGGGAAGTATTTTCCCAGGGCTAAATATGAATTGTACAACAACATCCCAATCCCCGAGTACCAGATAACTATATTTAATTTTTCCAGATTTGACATGGAAATTTGGTCTCTAAGAGTTCATCGTGAAAGAAAAAGCCCCAAGGAAGTTGTGTGGAAAGTCTCTGACCTGTGACTGCCCTTTCAGAGAGCCTCATCAGAGCAGACATGGATATAAACTCTGGCTCTGCAGCCCCAGAGTCCCATTTTTAAGAGGAAACAGAGTTTTCTGGTGGAACTACAACAGCAGATCTGACCCAAGAATGCAAGGAGCAATTCCTGAACAACTCATTAACATTTGGGATTTTTTACACTCAGAAAGCAAGGAGCAATTCCTGAACAATTGAACAATTCATTAACATTTGGGATTTTTTACACTCAGGAAGATGTGCATTACAGTGTTTGTAACTCAGATGCAATTATATCTTTCATATTCTGATTGAATAGCCAAGGCAGAGCTCTCCATGTCAGGGCATTATTGTGGCAGAAATGTGATTTAACCTGTACTCAGAGCCAGCTCCAGATCACTACTGCTGCAGGACTTTCGTCATCACATTTATTTTGCACTCAGCTTCTGTGGTTTTTCTACTAATGACCTTTCCTGTGACTTTACACCAACGCAGCTTCACAGGAATCCTAAAAAAGGAAACTAAACCCACCAAATTTCTAAAAATCTGTCCTTGCATTGGCACCCACCACTCTCGAGGTAGATGAAGCAGTGGGAAAGCACTGACAAAGAGAGTGGCCGTGGCAGGTTCACCCAGCCTGGTCAGGGCTGGAAGCAAAAACCAGTGAAGAAAATGCAAAACTCAGCATGCCATGGAGGCCAGGGTTGGAAGGATAAAGCAGTGAAGAAAAGGCAAAACTCAACCTGCCAAGGGGCCGGTGGTGCAGGCGCCGGGGCAGATGGAGCCCTGTGGTTGTGTCAACCAGAAATGCTACAAACCAAACCCACCCCTACCTACAGAGCTGTCCTGTCAGAGCACCCACAGACACCGGCAGGTTGGGCTGCAGTCCCACCACAGAGCCTCACACATCAGGGGCAGCTGAGGGATAAAAGGCACCCCGATTCTGCATCTGGCTGGGGCGTGAGAATCCAACACAGCGCTGCAGGGACAGACGGACGGGTTTGCCCTCCTCACCTCCCCACAAGAGACGCCGTTTCACACGATTTCTGTCCTCATCTATGCCCAGTGCTCACCCAGATGTAGGCTTGTGATCAAGACACTTGTGACCAGATATTAACCTTGTGACCAGATATTAACCTTGTGACCAGAAATGGTGGAAGGATGAGAAAAAGGCAGGAGAGAAAAAGGTAAAAAAAAAAAAAAGGAAAGAAAAAAGCGAAAAAGCTAAAGGAGTTATTTGTTTTGTCCTCAGTTTTTGAGGAGAGTTTGTCTTGAACACAAAAGAAAGGAAATCAAAAGATCCCCATTTCCTGGAAAGGCTGCAGATGTAGAATGCATGATTCTGAAGTCAGAAAATAGGTGCTTTAAACACAATTATCTTTTGAGGAAGAGACATGGGAGAAATTGCAAAAATTATGTCGATGGCCTTTGAAGTACAAATGTGCAACTAGAAAAACTGCTGTCTGTGCCTGAAGGACAAGAGGACCATCTGCAGGAAAGCCTGCTTTGACTAAGTAAGGAAAATGACTCGATCAGATCCCACATGAAGGGTTTTCTAGTTCAGTCCAGCCCAGTCCCCTCTCCTGCCACCCCCTAAGGGCAAACACCAGCCTGGAGCAGCAGCGGTGCCACCCAAACGTGGGCACAGCTTGATGAGAGAGCCCCAGACAGATCCTTGTAAGGGCTCAGCAGGCACCCACCCATCACCCAAACAAAACCGAGCAGAAAACATTCGCTGGCAGATTTGACAGGGCAAAAACACAGCAGGAAGTCCTGCAATGCTTTTGTAATTAGCTGGCTTCTGGGGGGATTATCCTAAAAAACTTTTTTTTTTTTGCTCATCCTGCTTTCAGCAGTTCCCAGCACTGGCCACTGATAGCCCGGCATGGATTCGTGCTCAGGAGGGCTGGCAGCACGGGCAGCTCTGCCAGCTGGGCTGGGGAGGGCACAGCAGAGACCCTGGCCAGACACCCCTGCCCATGGCCAAGGCTTGGGGCTGCGTTTGGAACCCCTGCATTCAGCAGGAGCCATCAGCCCAGCCAGGGCTGCAGAGCTGCTCCTGCACTGCTGCTCCAGCCAGGGCTGCACTGCTGCCAGCCCTCCCTGCACTGCTGCTCCAGCCAGGGCCGCACTGCTGCCAGCCCTCCCTGCACTGCTGCTCCAGCCAGGGCAGGAACCAAACCAGCAGAACAGACCTGCTGGGACACGCCAGCAGCGCTCTCCCTCCCCTCTCTGGGGCACAAACCCACCACCAGGATCCTGCACAGGATTCCCTTCTTGGGCCCTCAGCTCAGGCAGAGTGTTCACAGCTTCTCTCAATAGCACAGCCAGCAGCTGGGAATTTTGGTGTTTGGGGAAGAAGCCGACTTGTATGGTTAAAGGTAAAATACATTATCAGTTTGTTCTTCAGCCACCTAAAGTGCATGGCAGAGTGCAGGGCCTTCTCTTGACCATGCTCACTGCCCACTTTATAACCCTTTGGAAACAGCAGCCGTATCTTGAGATCCTTAAACATTGGCTTTGGCTGGCATGTTGGAAAAATGCCCGTGTTTGTACAACAGAGCAGCCCCTGGGTCTGCCCAGCTGCCCAGAGCCATTCCAATGGGGTGAAGCTGTACACAGAGCTCAGGCTCCCCACCCTCTCTTTGAGCCCTTAATCCTCTGCCCTGGACAACTGCTTACTTCTCACTGCAAAAAATTAACTGTGCTGCAACATTTAATCCATCACAGACTGGCATCTTACACTGGAGAACACTGCACATCCTCTTCTTTGGGGCTTCTCTCTCTTAGAGAGCCTGTGGCTTTCAAACCAAAGCCTTATCTGATTCACTCCTCCCATCCCTGCTTCAAGAAATGGCCACAGGGTGCACGGGAATAGAGGAAAAGCTTGGCTGCCTGGTGTCTTCTGGGGAGCCCCTGAGAAGCCTTGTGCCCCATTTGTTCTGCCTGATCCATGGGGAAAGTACAAAATTGTCACTGAAGCCAGCACCCAAACCCAACCCCAAAGCCTTGGATTGAGCACTGCAGCTTTGGGCTGTGAGTCTCAGGATGCAGAGGGGACAAGAGTATGGGCAAGAATGTGCAGACAGGTCTGCCTGTCAGGATACTCCTTATTGCACTGAGAGATGTTCAATGAAATCTGGGGAAGGAAGGGACTGGGGGTTCAGGGCAGCTCCCAGTGGCCCCATGTAAAGGATGTGGGTATGGCAGCAGCATGCAGGGAGAAGGTGCATGTGTTTCCCCGTGCCTTTGGGCCCTTCTTCTACACAGATACACCCTCACAGAAGCAAAGTCTATGAGGAATTGTGTGTTTTCTGTAGGGTTTAGGTGACACACTGTCAAGCAGAGCTCAAGTCCTGCACTAAATGTTTACTTGTTCTAAGGTACACAATGTACATATTTCACAGTTTTTAAATAAACATTTAAACTTCGATTTATCTATCTCCCCAAACCTCAGCTCTCTCTCAGAATATATACTCCTTTCCTACTTCCACAGAGAAGATATTAGCTCTTCTATTACCATACATTTCCACTAATTCTGTGCTTGATTTCAAAGCCTCACAGAAAATTTTTGGGAGGAGCAGGAAGGGAGGAAGCCAAGCAGGTGTTTAAGCTTAAAAGAAAATAATAAAGCACAAAAAAGAAGAGAGGAAACAGCCAAGCACCAAAGATCCATCACGAATCCCCAGACTCCGTGTCCCAGCCCCGGCAGGCCCCACGCGAGCCCGCGGCTCCGGTCCAAGCCCCGCCGAGCTCCGAGCCGCGGCTCCCGGGGCAGGACGCGTCACAGCAAAGGTCGCGGCCAGCCCTGGGAACAGCTCGGGAAAAGCAAACTCCATCCAGCCCGCAGTCCGGCCCTCCGGCTGCTGTGCCAGCTGCGCTTTCTGTCCCCAAAGGCGCTGGGCGCTGCTCTGCGGCCGGGACAGCTGCGGGCCGGGAGCCGGGCACGGCCGAGGGCACGGCCAGAGCTGGGCAAGGGCACGGCCACGGCCAGACAGGGGCACAGCTGGGCAGGATCACGGCCAGAGCTGGGCAAGGGCACGGCCACGGCCAGAGCCGGAGAGGGGCACGGCCGAGGGCACGGCCAGAGCTGGGCAAGGGCACGGCCACGGCCAGACAGGGGCACAAGCCGGGCAGGGGCACGGCCAGAGCTGGGCAAGGGCACGGCCAGAGCCGGAGAGGGGCACGGCCGGGCAGGGGCTCGGCCCGGCTCGCCAGCCCTTCCCCTTTTGCTTCGCAATCCTCGCAGGGCTGCGCTGGGGCAGCGGCGGGGCGCGGGCACGGCGGGCGGGCAGGAGCGGCTGCGGCTCCCGGGAGCGGCTGGACCGGGACCGGCTCCGAGGCTGATCCGTGCCCCTGCCTGAGCGGCTCCCTGCCTGATCCCTCTCTGGAGCGGCTCCCGGCCGATCCCCCGGACCGATCCGTCCCCGGAGCGGCTCCCTGATCGATCCAGCCCCGGAGCGGCTCCCCCACTGATCCATTCCTGGAGCGGCTCCTCGACCGATCCATCCCCGGAGCGGCTCCTCGACCGATCCATCCCCCGACCGATCCATCCCGGAGCGGCTCCCGCCGATCCCCGCTCAGCCCGGCCGGAGCTGTCGGAGCTCTCGGAGCTGTCGGAGCTCTCGGAGCGGCGCACACCGCAGGCTCCGCGCAGCCGCCCCGCTCCGCTGCCCAGGTGAGACGCTGCCTCCGGCCCCCGCTCCCGTCCCCTGCGAACGCGCTCCAACACCCTCGCGTGTTTCTGAGTAACTGCCACCGCAATTTTACTGCTTAAATTGGCAAATAAGGCGAGCGTCCGCGCGTTCTGCAAGCCACTGACAACTAATAACACAAACGAGCAGTTCTAACTAACTAACTAACTAACTAACTAACTAACTAACTAACTAACTAACTAACGAAACCGGTACAGAAACTACTGTTTCAGCCATGGAGCAGGCTCCAGCTGTGCCAGCAGACAGAGAACCTGCAGGCAAGGGTTTTTCTTGTCTGCCTTAAAAAGATATTTTTCTTAAGCAACTAGTTTTGTTTTCATTTGTGGCTGAGAAAATGTAACCATATGAAACTCATAGCTTAAAACATCAGAAAATTGAATTTAAAATATTTGAATGACAAATACTACCACTAAAATATAATATTAAAGGGAAAAACTTTCTTGAGCCACGTTTTACTGCTATTAAAAACCCAGTTTCAGGACAATGCAGCTAATAATCGTTAAAATGTTTTATTGACCCAGGGCTCTGGTTTTACCTGGGATAAAGTTAATTTTCTCCCAGTAGCTGGTACAGAAATGTGTTTGGGTTTGGGATGAAAGCGATGGTTCTCTGATGAACCCTGATGGTTCAGCTGCTGATGAGCAGGGCTTGCACCAGGTCAGGTGCAGCTTCTCATGCCCTGCCAGTGCAGAAGGGCATGCCAGGAAAGCTGACCCACTTGTTTTTCTTGGGATTTATCTCTCTCCTTTTTATATTCCTTCATTACAATCTATTATTATTATTATTGTTATTATTATTGTTATTACCTTCTTAAGCTACTCTTACCTGACCTAACATTTCCTCTCACATCCACCACTCCCTAATTCCAGTATGAAAACTGATGAGATAGGAAGGCTCTTAGTGGAGGAATTTTGAGACTTAATTTAAAAAACTGAGTATTTGAATTAGTTCTGAAAATTATGCTGTGTGCAAAGAGCTCAAGGCATTGTCCAAGTTTCCATCTGAGTATCAGGGTTTGCACGAATACATCAGTCTACAATCTTTTAAGGTTAAAAGCGTGCTCAGAATAATGCATACTCTTGTCTAAAAGTCAGACATAAAAAGAGAATGAAAAATTCAGCTGATGAGGAAGAAAAAGCTGTTAAATTTCAGATACCAGAGAGCACAGAGGCTGCTGGACAGGAAGAAGAAATGAAACAGTCCCTGGCAGTTTTGCCAGACAGAAGTACAGTTCTGCCCTTGAGGTGTCCTGACACTGCACCCAGAGGGGCCATGCTGTAATGGAAATGCAGAACCTTATCTCCTGCTCCTGTGCACCTGCTGGCTCTGTCCCTGTGTCCTTGAGAGCTCCAGCAGCTCTGCAGGTGCCAGGGGAACACCACGGATCCTCTCCCCGCTGCCTGGCCCGCGGCAGATCCTCCCTTACTGTAATGGGAATGCCACCCATTCCTTCTGCCCTCCTAGCTCATCCCACTTTCCCCATGGCAGATCCTCCCTCACTGCCTCCTGCAACAGGAATGCCACCTGTTTACTCTGCCATCCTAATTCCAGCATTCGTCCCGTTTTCCTCCACTACATTCTACACCAAACAAGAACAGCCACCACCCAACACGCCATTTCCAGAGGCTAAAATATCCCATTATTTTGCATTCTTTTATTCTCCTAAGTATTAAAGCCCAGACATTGCCCTATGACAAATGTCATAATAAGAACAGCAAATAACAAAATTTCAGTCTCTTGGCAAACTCACAACAAGTGCAGCGCCCCAGCCACAGGCACGGTGAGCAGTGCCCTGCAGGGCAGAGCAGCCATTCCAGCTCCTGAGCCTCAGCCCTGCTGCCCCACAGGGACACCCACAGCTGCCTTACACTGCATTGCACAGCACGGACAGCACTGCCAGTTCCACAGCACCAACATTCCGACCACATCAGAGAGAAAATCTTAAAATAAGTTTCTTCTTTTAGCACGCTCAGCACAACTCGCAGTGGCTGTGGTGTGTGTGGTGCCTCTTCCTCCTGCAGCTTCCTCCTAACATCAGAGGTACCATCGAGCCTGATCGCCTCCCCTGATTAACACCATTTTGCAGTTCAAAAAGACTTCTGGCAATAGTGACCGCGCTGTCACCAGTTCCTGACCCAGTAACTGTATTAATATTTATTAAACAGCTGCACTCGTTTCCATAAATAGCTAAAATGTGTACTTGGAACGACACAACTTCTGGTAAGGCCAGGGTAAATAAATTAAAAAACAACTTATAAATATTATTCTTATGTTCAGTAAAGCAGGGTGAACTTTGAAACTTGACAGCCATGTCACAGAAGTCAAGAATTGCCTTAATGCTACCGTGGAAGAGTCACAGGGGACAGCACAAGCCTGACCTCAGAAGGGACAGAGCACTTCTAATGGTTTATGCAGCTTCCCTTTGGTGTGTTGTGCCAAGACAACGTGATTTACACACTGAGAAAGTTCAGAACTTTTTTATATTTTACCCAATCCATCTTGGCCATATGGCGAATCAAGTTTGCTGGTTTTGCACAACTAGCTGACATTATTCACAGAGAATCGATGTACTTTGTGCTGGCCCAAACATTCAAACAAGGACAACTGCTTGAGTACGAAAGGCTGTGTGCCGCCTGTCCCAAATGGCACTGACACACTCTGTGTGCCACCTGTCCCAAATGGCACTGACATACTCTGTGTGCCACCTATTCCAAATGGCACTGACACACTCTGTGTGCCCCCCTCCCAAATGCTGGCACTGACACACTCTGTGTGCCACCTATTCCAAATGGCACTGACACACTCTGTGTGCCCCCCTCCCAAATGGCACTGACACACTCTGTGTGCCACCTATTCCAAATGGCACTGACACACTCTGTGTGCCCCCCTCCCAAATGGCACTGACACACTCTGTGTGCCACCTGTCCCAAATGGCACTGACACGCTCGGTGTGCCACCTGTCCCAAATGGCACTGACACACTCTGTGTGCCACCTATTCCAAATGGCACTGACACACTCTGTGTGCCCCCCTCCCAAATGCTGGCACTGACACACTCTGTGTGCCCCCCTCCCAAATGCTGGCACTGACACACTCGGTGTGCCACCTATTCCAAATGGCACTGACACACTCTGTGTGCCACCTGTCCCAAATGGCACTGACACACTCGGTGTGCCCCCCTCCCAAATGGCACTGACACACTCTGTGTGCCCCCCTCCCAAATGCTGGCACTGACACAGACCCTGTGGCACTGACACAGCCCCTGTGTGCCGTGGGAGCCCCCCAGCAGCACAGGTGTGCTCTGCCAGGACACAGGGCTGTGTCTGTGTCCCCCACAGGTGTCCCAGCAAGAGCACAGCCCCGTGCCTGGGGATGGGCAGCGCTCCAGACCCTCAGCAAAGTGCCACAGAAGGCAGCTGAGGGGAGCTGAGGACGTGCCAATGACAGGGAAGGATGGACAGAGCCTGGCCTGGCCCGTGGCCCCCTCTCAGTGACACACAGCTGATCAATCCGCTGGTTTCAGATGTAAAACTCGTCTAGGGTGTCCTCTGTGCTGCACAGACACGGTGGGTGTCACAAAGGTTTGGTGTCCACATCTGCAGTCACACAGTTCTGAAATAATCCTTTGTTGTATGATGTCTCAGCACAAAACACACTTCATGAACTTCTAAACAATTTAATACCTACCCCCAAATCCAAGCACAGAAAGACCCACCTGGGGTTTCTTGGCTGTAGAAAAACCCTACAGAGAAGGAGCAAGTTCTTAATGCACCATGTGCAGAGAGAGGGTCCTGCAGAGACAGCCTGGAGGGAGAAAGGGAGCAGGGACACAGCAGGAGAGAACAGCTTCTAAATACAGTGTGTTAGTATTTAAATTAAAATGCCATTTGCTATTAGTGCCTTTCCAGAAGATGCTTCTGATTTCAGCAGTATCACCCCAAGCTCTGCCCTCATAACCTCCCAGCTCTAACACACCTGTACCTGTGGTAGTTTAATACCTACTCTCCAAACCATCTTTTTTTTAGAACCCCAGCCAAACAAAACCAAATGCCTTGATGGCAAAGGAGGAGAGCTGCTGCCCTGTCAGGATAGTGACCAGGACGAGGTTCAGAGCAGGTTTTGGGTGTGCTCAGGGTAACACACACACCCCACGCTCCAGAGCACACCTGGGCTGATCAGCCTTCACACCATCTGCAAGAGGTACAGGAAACAAACACACCAAAGGAGACCATTTTACCTATTTGAGAAAAAAATGCCAATTTCTAGCTATTGCAAACTTGCATTCAGGCTCCAACCCAGTCCACAGAGACATCAATTACCGACTCAGAATGGGGATAAAAGGAAATTTGTTATTTTCTACAAGACAAGGTGTTTTTTTTCCCAGCTCCAAGGCACATATTTTCCAGTTGCCCAGGGCTTCACTTGCCAAATACAGCAGCATTATATTTATATCTATATTTGTTCTGCCCTCCCCACAGAGGATAATCCACCCCCACAAACATTCTGGCAAAGAAAAGCAGACAGCAGATGTGATTTCTTCTTGGAGATTCTTTAAAATGTAAATCTGACTGACTTGAGAAGCCAGCTCAAACTCCCACATCACAAACTAACACAGACACACTGCTGGGCTGCTGGAATTTTGAAGTGAGCTCTGCCAGCTGCACATGCAAGTTCCTTGGAAGGGAGCACTGGGATATATTGCTATAGCTGGGTATCTCCAGCCTTGACTAACAGGAGCTTTTACAGAACACTTTGACCAGGAATATTCACATCCCTCATGTTTCATGGCAAATCAACGTTAAAAATCCACATTTAACATTTAAAAAACACATCTCATTAACCCTGAGTCACCAGATTGCCATGGATCAGTCCCAGCTCCAGCACAGGGGCTCACGCCTGCAGGAAAGGGGCAGCCCTGGGCTGGAAGGTAAGGGGTTAAAGTCAAACAGAGAGGGAAATGCATCCTCTGCTCAAAGCAACACCAGGGAGCATCACCAGCAGGTGAGACGGCCCTGCTCAGAGAGCTCTCTCCGTTCCCTGCTGGCAATGCTGAGCTGTGGAACGTGGCTGTTTGTGAGGGGCTCACTGGGCCTGCATGGAATTGAGGGCAGAACACCCAGAGCAGTCAGCAGAAAGCCCAGCACCACCCTGCCCTGCTCAGACTCTCTTTTTCTGCTTCCAGGAATGAGGATACTGCAAGATGCTCAACTCCAGCAGCAGCCCCTCGGGCAGCAACTGCAGCCACAGCACGGCGGTCACCACCACGGTCATCCCGCTGCTCTACTGCCTCATCTTCCTTGCCGGGCTCTCGCTCAACGCCCTGGCAGCCTGGCTCTTCCTCTACGTGCCCAGCACTAAGAGCTTCATCGTCTATCTCAAGAACATCGCCGTGGCCGACCTCCTGATGAGCCTGACGTTCCCGTTCAAAATCCTGGCTGACTCGGGGCTCGGCCCTGCCCAGCTCAGCCTGTTCGTGTGCAGGTACTCGGCCGTCGTGTTCTACATGAACATGTACATCGGCATCTCCTTCTTCGGCCTCATAGGCTTCGACAGGTACTACAAAATCGTCAAGCCTCTGTTCACCTCCTTCGTCCACACAGTTAACTACAGCAAGGTGGTCTCTGCGATCATATGGCTGTTACTAATGATTATGTCATTTCCCAACATGATTTTAACTAATGAAATCGCTAAGGACAGTTACTCCACAAAATGTATAGGTCTTAAAAGCGAGCTTGGCAGACAGTGGCACAAGGCAACAACTTACATTTGCACAGGGATTTTCTGGATTGTTTTTTTCCTGCTAATCATATTTTACACTTCTATATCCAAAAAAATATACAGCTCTTACAAAAAATTCCAGAGGAACTCAGACACGGCCAAGAGAAAAACCAGCCGGAACATATTCACCATCATGTTTGTGTTTGTCATTTGCTTTGTGCCCTACCACCTCTGCAGGACCCCATACACCTTGAGCCAGACCAGCTCCCAGTTCACCTGCCAGTCCCAAAAATCGCTGTTCTACGCCAAGGAGTTCACTCTGGTGCTGTCTGCAGCAAACGTCTGCCTTGACCCCATTATTTATTTTTTCCTCTGCCTCCCCTTTAGAGAAAAGCTGTATCAAAAACTGCACCTCAAGCCGAAAGCTTCAAGTGAGGTTGAAATTTCTAAATCCAGAAGATCAAATACGCTTGGGGAAAGCATAAACATAGTGTAGGTTTGCATCTCCACAATAACGCACATTTCAGGAAATTATTCATGAACAGAGAAGAAACAAGAGCACAGGACAACCAGCAACAAGCAGGAGAGGGGCTCAGCAAAACACCAGGTGCTACTTCCCTGCCTAAACCCAGTACTGCATGTGCCAATATATTCACTGTGTGCTGTGCCAGCTGATGCCCTGATGGCATTGGGGTGTGACACGACCCAGGATCTCAGGAACACAGAGGGCAGCACCTGGAACAGCACACCCTGGAGCTCCAGGCCCTGGGTCTCTGACAGGACCATCCAACAGACCCAAAGCCACAGCAATCTGCTTCTCTGGACTTGCATGAACAGGAACATCCCCACACCAAACTGCAGCCGCTCCCTCAGTGCTGGTGCAGCAAGAGGGAGGAGCACCACGGAGCCATCTGGGAACATTCAAGTACAGCTGTGTAAAAACTCTGGTGCATTTAAATCCAGAAAGAAAGGTTTGCTGGTTTTCTGTGATTTTTACACAGCAACAAAGCATTTCTGTCTGTACCAGAACAACAGCTGAAAGCCACCAACCTGCTCTATACAAATATAATCTTTGTTATAGCTTTATTTTTCAGAGCAGCTTTTTTTTAATTGATTTTATTATTGTACAGGAAAAACATACCAGGGCCTAAAGTATCCACTAAAGCTTTCTGAGAGTGGCTCTGGAGCTGACTGTCTTCATTTTACTTAATAAAGAAGCTATAGGAACATAAATATCTTTCTGCCACTGCTTTTTGTTTCAGTCCAAACAGATCCAAGGGTGAACATTTTTTACAAATTCGGTGCTTTCCCAGCACGTCAGGCTGGGGTCAGACAGCCCAAGCCAGCTGTTCACACGCTCAGGGAGCTGCTCACATTCCAAGATCTGCTCTCTTCCCGCAACACTTCTGCAGGAAGGGCAGACCATTACACTGTAAAGGTTCACTGAACCATCACTTTGTCTTTTTAGGCCTGGAAAAGTTCCCTGCTCTGTAAACTGACTCTGCAGAAAAGGGCAGACTGACTGACAGAGACACACATCCAGAAACAACTGCCACTGCTGCAGTTTGGGCTGAAAAAACCCCTACGAGTACAGGAAATCAGCTTTGCATGAGCAGAACACTACACAACGAGTCCATGTTGGCTTGCAGCTGGACATGGGATCATTCCAGATTATTAAGCTTTGCAAACATTTTGACAAATATGGTCTGAACTTTCAGTTCATGACTAAACCTAGAACCAGACATTCTTCATCTGTTCCTCCACACAGCTCTGGTGCAGGGTTTGTAAATTCATGTGGATTCTCAATTACAACCAAGGGCCAGCAGCTGGAGTTTCAGTATTGCTGTCAGTACCTCACCCCCTGCACGGGTCAAAGCTTTTCTCGCGGTTTCCCAAACCAACCAAACAAAAAATAAAGATTTCCCTGACTTCCCCAATGTGCCATGTTATTGTGATAGTCCTTGGAAAATATCCAAATATTTAGAATGTTCATTGCAATCAGCAGAACCCCTCGGTGTCTTCAGATCTGCCAGCTAAGGTGAAACAAACACCATGAGATCCCCAGAACCTTGAGGAACAGCTCCATTGCAAAGTCCTGATTTCAGGCGGATTTCAAACGTGAGATACACGTGGGGAAGGGGGAAAGCAGAGCTCCAGACTGATGAAAACAGAAGCAAAGGAGCCGATGCCACACAGATACAGCCCCCACACCTCTCCCCCAGAACAGGAAAGCGAGGGCTCCGGGCTGCTCCGTGAGCTCTCATTGCTTTCTGTCACTGCTCTTCTGGGTAATCCCCACGTGATTCAGCTGCTTGAATCTGGGTTTAACTGCGTCAATCAGCCCCTCTGGAAACCACAGCCCCGTCTGGGCCCGGCAGAGCAGCCTGGGCAGCAGGTCACAGACCAGCCTGAGAGAGCAGAGCAGCCTGGGCAGCAGGTCACACAGCAGCCTGAGAGAGCAGAGCAGCCTGGGCAGCAGGTCACAGACCAGCCTGAGAGAGCAGAGCAGCCTGGGCAGCAGGTCACACACCAGCCTGAGAGAGCAGAGCAGCCTGGGCAGCAGGTCACAGACCAGCCCTGCAGAGCAGCCTGGGCAGAAGGACACACAGCAGCCTGGGCAGCAGGTCACAGACCAGCCTGAGAGAGCAGAGCAGCCTGGGCAGCAGGTCACAGACCAGCCCTGCAGAGCAGCCTGGGCAGAAGGACACACAGCAGCCTGAGAGAGCAGAGCAGCCTGGGCAGAAGGACACACACCAGCCTGGGCAGCAGGTCACAGACCAGCCCTGCAGAGCAGCCCTCGGGGACACCAGAACTCTGCAGACCATGCTCAGGATGCCCCTGGCCTCCAGCACAGGTAGGTGGTTTCAGTCTCTGTCTGTACAGCCTGTTTAGATCTCCGTGGATGGACAGCCCAAAATCCAGCTGTCAGAGGTCGGGCTCAGCTTTTGGCAAGGCCCTGGCCGTGGCAGCAGCCCTGGCACTGCCCACAGCTGGGTACCCCTGCCCACGGGGGACGGGGACGAGCTGGGCTGCCCTGTGCCCTGTGCCACCAGCAGCACTGCTGCCCTCACCCAGAGCTACCTCAGCCCCTTGCCAGCACAGGGACACCTGCGCAGGGCCGGCTGCAGGGGCCAGGCTGCTTTCTCCAACACCGTAAACCACCCGAGTATCTGCAGTCATTTTGCTCTCCAAACTATGCAAATCTGGATACAATTTAACAGATTAAGTTGCGTGTGCATAGTTCTCTTACGTTGTATAAAATATTCTGTGCAATATATAGAAATAGAGTGTTGCAGTCTGATGCCACTGAAGGCATAAATGTGCTGGTTCCAAGAAATTGAAAGGAACAGCCTTTCCCACAGCCGCTCTCTGTAGCAGGCTGACACAGAACAGCAAACAAAAACCCCTCCGTCTTTGAGCGGTATTTAGTTAAATTAGGAACAAAATTTTCTACTTTCCTTTTCTACTGAAGCCTACCAAAGAAGTGAGAAAAATTATTTATTATCTGCTTCTTTCAAAATATGCTTTTCCTAAAGGCTTCGTAAAAATACAAGCTCTCTGCTCAAGCAGGAATGGAGAGCAGTTTGCAGCCTTAGGGCTGATGAGGACCATTTGCTCACCCATCTGATATATCTCTGTATTGGTTGGACAGTGCATTCCCTCTGAACTCCCAATGCATTTTACAGAAAGGGGATGCTACAAATACTACTTTTTTTTTGTTTCCAGGCATAGCTTCAATCCTTCAAAGGTTATGATGTTTCGGTATGATTGTTATTAACCAGATGCTTAAATAGATCCAAACCTTTTTCTCTAGCATTCTGGCTGGAGGAGGGTGTTGGAGCAAACACTGCCAGAAAAGCTGCTGTAGTGGAAATGCTGCTCAGAGGGCTCTATTCTTTCAGAAACAAATCCTAATACACTCCTAATTCTTCCAGCATGAGAACAAAACTCTCCTGAATATTTGGGAAGCACCATGAAGAGAGAGAAAAATATTTCTTCCGAACTGTATATTTTTTTTTTTAGAATTAATCAAGCAAAATTCTAAGAGAATAGCTACTGTTGCTGAGGAAAGGCTGATGGCATTGATGACCTCTTGGTTCTTTTGTAGATCTGTGATACCTCCTGTCAGCAAAACTAACTCACACAAGGAGCTTACAATGTCAAGCAACATTTCTGAATGTCATCTCTATGAAGAAATGGAACCCTTTACCTATTTTTACTACTTGATTTTCCTTATGGGAATTATTGGAAGCTGTTTTGCACTGTGGGCATTCACACAGAAGGACCAGAAACAGAAGTGCATGAGCATCTACTTAATCAACCTCCTCACTGCAGATTTCCTGCTGACTTTGACACTGCCAGTGAAGATTATTGTTGACCTAGGAATCGCATCCTGGAGTCTGAGAATATTCCACTGCCAAGTCACGGCCTGCTTCATCTACCTGAACATGTATCTGTCAATCGTATTTCTGGGATTCGTGAGCATGGACCGCTGCCTGCAGCTGATGCACAGCTCCAAGACGTACCGCGTGCAGGAGCCGGGCTTCGCCAAGACGCTGTGCGCGGTGGTGTGGGCCACGCTCCTGCTCATCACCGTGCCCAACATGGCCATTCCCATCCGGCGCGTCGAGGAGCGCCCGGGCGTGGGCTGCATCGACCTCAAAACCAAATTCGGGAGGGACTGGCACGTGTTCACCAACTTCATCTGCACGGCCATCTTCCTGAACTCCTCGGCGGTGCTGCTGGTGTCCAACTGCGTGGCGGCGCGGCAGCTGCGGCGGCACGGGCGGAGCGGGGAGCGCGGCGGGCGCGCGCGGCGGGCGCTGGCGCACGTGCTGCTGGTGACCGCGGCCTACCTGCTGTGCTTCGTGCCCTACCACGCCGTGCGCATCCCCTACGCGCTGAGCCAGGCCCGCGCCGGCGCCGCCTGCCCCCTGCGCCGGGCCCTCTTCAAGGCCAAGGAGGCCACGCTGCTCCTCGCCGTCTGCAACCTCTGCCTCGACCCCCTGCTCTACTACCACCTGTCCGAGGCCTTCCGGCTGAAATTCACCGCGGCCTTCGCGGCCCCCAAGGAGACAAAGGCGCTCACGGCCACGGAGACGGCGCAGCAGAGCCCAGGGCAGACCTGCAGCCCTGTTCATGAAACAGCAGCAGAGCCCAGGGCAGAGCTGCAGCCCTGCCCGTGAAACAGCAGCAGAGCCAAGGGCAGCCCTGCAGCCCTGTTCATGAAACAGCAGCAGAGCCCAGGGCAGAGCTGCAGCCCTGCCCGTGAAACAGCAGCAGAGCCCAGGGCAGAGCTGCAGCCCGGCCTGTGAAACAGCAGCAGAGCCCAGGGCAGAGCTGCAGCCCTGCCCGTGAAACAGCAGCAGAGCCCAGGGCAGAGCTGCAGCCTGGCCTGTGAAACAGCAGCAGAGCCCAGGGCAGCCCTGCAGCCCTGTTCATGAAACAGCAGCAGAGCCCAGGGCAGAGCTGCAGCCCTGTTCATGAAACAGCAGCAGAGCCAAGGGCAGCCCTGCAGCCCGGCCTGTGGAACAGCAGCAGAGCAGAGCCCACCTGCAGCACTGGCAGCTGCTGGGGGACTGCAGCTGTGGCAGCACTGCTGACAGCACTCCTGAAGAGCTGTGAGCCCAGGCAGGAGGGAAACACCACCAAGGAACACCTCTGGCTGTGTGACTGCTCACACTGCGCCCTGAGCGCTCACAGCCCCCAGGGATGCCTTCACCAACAGCCCAAAGAACAGTGCTGACCCACCAGGCATCAGCAACGCTTGAGAATACACGTTCAGACTCAAATATGTCTTGGAATTATTTATGGCAGACACGTGGACTCACCTTTACTAAGTTAAATATTGTGCATTTACGATATTAAAGGACTCGGTGCTTTCAAGTGAAGAAATTAGTAAACAGCAGTTCTTCAGCTGCAAAGCTGATGTGACAAGATTAACCAAAAAGCATTTCAGAGGGCATTATTTACTGCAAAAAGGGATTTTAAACCACACTGATTAAAAATTGTTGTATCTGCTTACACCACACCTGCAAGGCTTCATAAATAAATTTCCTCTTCTTGCCAAGTTCCACTGTCTCTCCCTGCTGGTGCCTCAATGAATACAAGAAAAGCTAACAGCATGTTATTGCAGAAAATTCAAGTGGATTGTAAAAGGAAGATAAAAAGCGTAAGCATCCATCATTTCTTTTTATCCAGGACTTCAGATTCACCACATTTCCAACCACAAATGCACACAATACCCCCAGCATTTGCATCTGAGGCCACCACACTCTCTTACCTCTGCATAAAGTCCTGACTCACTCTAGAATGACATGCTTTTCCTATTAACTAGTTTGGTTAGTTCTAAGGTGTTTTATTTAATCAATTTGGCTTGTGGATCAGAAAGCAACTTCCAGGACCACTGTTAATACGAAAGGAGAGTTCTCTTGTCTGTGTAAATTACAGATGGAACACAGCCATGGCCCTGTGCTTCCCAGAGCTCCTACAGCTCCCTCACAGAGCAGCATCACCACGGGCTCATGGTTTGGGGCTGCCTGTGCAGGGCAGGACAGAGAAACCCCCACAGACAGACAGACAGACACAGCCCAGAGCTGGTCTGACCCAACAGCCTGTGGCTCTGCAGGAGGAAAAGCCCAGTGAGCTGTGCTTCGGGCTCCCAGTGCACGCATTGCTGTCATTTGCACACGTTTGCTTTCTTTGCAGTGTTCTCATATGAAATATAAGCTGGGACCCAAAGAGAGAAAGCTTCTGTGTCCCCAGTTTTCCTACAGCTGATACTCAAATCAAAATTTTACCTTATGATGAAGTTGCCTCATAAAACCAGTGAAGGGTGATGTGCTTTGTGAGCAAGAGGAACAGGAGCGGTACCCACAGAGCCTCCAGCCCACTCACCACAGGATTTACACACTCATTCCTCCAGCCCTCCTCTGTCTGTTTCCAGGCTGCAACTTGCATCACACTGACACATTACAGCAAACAAAACACCCCCGACCTCTAAAGATGTTATCTGTCAGATAGGCATGGTTGAAAAACTCCCCAAAAGCTCCATTTTATTTCTGACTTTTAAAGAAACACCATGTGTGTTTAGAACCCTGCATTTACAGAGCAGTTATGGGATGCAATGTGATTATATCCAGTCCTTTGTCCTTGTGTGCTCTGCTGATCTCACTTGTCCCTCCCAAGCTGGCCACCATCTCTGAAGAACTTCAAAATACTTCAAAACACCAACCTGCAAACTACAGAGGTGTGCTTTTCCTCCTTTGCCCAAGATCAATGGAAGCTTCAGAGAGCAGTGGCCGCCACAGGGGCGGGAGCCCAGCACAGCACCCTCAGCAAGGGAACACTTCCCCAGAGTGGCTGGGAACCACAGACCAAGGGCATGGAGGCTCCTGCCTCCAGGTGTCCCAGCTCAGGAGAGCAGAACACAGGTTTGTGCTGAGCGGGGCTGCTGTGCACACACACACACACACACACACACACACACACACACACACACCTCACAGGTGCCCCAGCTCAGGAGAGCAGAACACAGGTTTGTGCTGAGCGGGGCTGCTGTGCACACACACACACACACACACACACACACACACACACACACACCTCACAGGTGCCCCAGCTCAGGAGAGCAGAACACAGGTTTGTGCTGAGCGGGGCTGCTGTGCACACACACACACACACACACACACACACACACCTCACAGGTGCCCCAGCTCAGGAGAGCAGAACACAGGTTTGTGCTGAGCAGGGCTGCTGTGCACACACACACACACACACACACACACACACACACCTCACAGGTGCCCCAGCTCAGGAGAGCAGAACACAGGTTTGTGCTGAGCCGGGCTGCTGTGCACACACACACACACACACACACACACACACACACACACACCTCACAGGTGTCCCAGCTCAGGAGAGCAGAACACAGGTTTGTGCTGAGCAGGGCTGCTGTGCACACACACACACACACACACACACACACACACACACACACCTCACAGGTGTCCCAGCTCAGGAGAGCAGAACACAGGTTTGTGCTGAGCAGGGCTGCTGTACACACACACACACACACACACACACACACACACACACACCTCACAGGTGCCCCAGCTCAGGAGAGCAGAACACAGGTTTGTGCTGAGCAGGGCTGCTGTGCACACACACACACACACACACACACACACACACACACACACACCTCACAGGTGCCCCAGCTCAGGAGGACAGAACACAGGTTTGTGCTGAGCCGGGCTGCTGTGCACACACACACACACACACACACACACACACACACACACACCTCACAGGTGCCCCAGCTCAGGAGGACAGAACACAGGTTTGTGCTGAGCCGGGCTGCTGTGCACACACACACACACACACACACACACACACACACACACACACCTCACAGGTGTCCCAGCTCAGGAGAGCAGAACACAGGTTTGTGCTGAGCAGGGCTGCTGTGCACACACACACACACACACACACACACACACACACACACACACACACCTCACAGGTGCCCCAGCTCAGGAGAGCAGAACACAGGTTTGTGCTGAGCCGGGCTGCTGTGCACACACACACACACACACACACACACACACACACACACCTCACAGGTGCCCCAGCTCAGGAGAGCAGAACACAGGTTTGTGCTGAGCAGGGCTGCTGTGCACACACACACACAGAGCCAGGGCAGGGGCTGGAGACAGGAGGGGAAATGCCTTTCTCTTGCCCAAATAAAGCAACACGATGGCACCACCACTGCCGTGGTGAGATCAGTCAGCTACCAACAGAACAGGGATGCTGCACATTTCTGAAGACAATGCAGCACAAAGACTCTGCTCTCCACTGATGCAGACCTTTGCTGGGCACGGCCAGAGCCATTCCCAACTCAGGGCCCCGGCAGCAGCTGGGACAGGAGAAGCTGCAGGGTCTGACCATCACATATGTCATTTCACTCTTGACTGGAAATAACAAATGTGGGGCCACACAGAGGCTTCCTGTGACACAAAGGCTGTACCTCAGGGTTCCTCCCTCCCAGCACCACCTTTACACGCACTCAGAATGCATCAGCCTCTCAGAATAACCAGGCTCTGGGTGTGTCTGACCTGGGGTCTTGCACTGCAGCTGGTCTGGCCTGCACAAGCACAGACCCCTCCCCAGAGGGGCTCAAACTGCTGCCCCACAGAGCAGCAAGGTCACAAGGAAAGCAGGCTTGAAGCTGTGTGCTCCTCTCAAGGTCACTGTCAGTTATTCAAGCCACAGAATAAATTTTTACATTCCAGAGAGATTCTGCACTTTGACTCCTTTAGATGAGCAGGAACCTGGTGTTGGATTTGCTGGAACAGTTAAGGATGAAAACACCCGGACAGGTAACTAAGCAATTTGAGCAACCAAAGTAATGCTAACTGCATTATTAAAACTATTACAAGACTGCTCAGAACATGCTCCACTTTCTCAGTGCTTGGGAAAACAGACTGAATCTGCAGATATTATTTTGCTCATCTTGTCTCTCTTTCCCGTCAGGCAGCCCAGTACACTCAGATTTGGGTCCCTCACAAATGTAATTACAAATGTTAAATTGAAGCTCTGTGACTCCAAGACCCACCAGAGCTCCTTTCCCACAGCGGGGTGGGGAGTTTTGTTTGTCTGTGTCATTTCCAGAAATGTGATCTCAGAAAGACAAATATCAACTCTCCGCATTTGTCACAAGCCCCGTTCCTGAGAACCACATTCAAAACAGGACTTTTTCACTCTAAAGTGAAAAACATCTCTTGGCATCATAAGAATTCAGATGGACTTCAAAGACAACATCAGAAACAAGACTAAATACAAGTACACATCCCTAAGCCTTAAAAGCAGAGACCTAAGTGCATAAATATCCGTGGAGTTCCAGGATTCTAATAGTGATTTCAAGAAATTCAACATCAATCCTTAAAAACATCAATCACTCCCTTCTGTCACATCACATTCACTCCTGCACACTGGCTGGAACATCCTCTACCAAGCTGCATTACCAGGGATCCCCCCACTGCTGAGGGGTATTTTGAGCTATACCTAACCAGGCTGTATTTTGCTACACAGGAGACTGGCATGTTCAGGTTTCACCAACCATTCTAAACATCTTAAAATGGATTAAAGAGGTGAAAAAGCCATTTATTCTCAGTTCCCTTCCATGGTGGTACCTGTGACAGACTATGATGGATAATAAAATACGCGTAGTTCACGTGTTAGGGGAAATTTGAGTGGGTTTAAGCCCTAGGAAAATGACAGGTGAACTCACAGAGGAGTTGTTACACACATGAGAAAGTCACTACTGCATTCTCCAGATTACCCTTCCGAGGACTCTGTTTCTGCCCAAATCAACTCCTTGCCCTGCTGGGGCTGCAGGTGAGTCATACATGTTCCAAGAATATGGTGTGATAAAATTTATTCCAACTGAAAACTGTACAGTAGCAATACAGACTGTTTACTGGATTTACACCTTGACAATAATCACCACTGTGAAAATCATTCTGGAGCTGTGCACAGGAGATGGTTTGAGTCAAGGAAATGTCACATGGAAAATACTTGTGGCCAGAAATAAGGTCAGTAGTTTTCTCTGCAATCCCACCTAAAAAGAAAGTGAATTTACTGCTTTATGACACAGAGTAGGTTTCTAGATTTTGAGTCCTCCTACTCAGGCAAATCTCCCGAGGAACCCAGAGAGAACCAGGAATGAGAGGTCCTGACCTTGCTCGGTGCACATGGCCACATTCACCAG